ATATATATATATATATACACACATATATATATCGAAAGAAAATCGTTTCTTTTATTTATATTTGTTTATATTTTGTTCCTCTTTTAAAGTTCATCTAAACCGTGTCATAAGGTAGGTGCAAATTTTCTTACGAGAATCTAACATTGTCTGTTATCTACTTTTGATATCAATTTTAATAGCAATGCATTTCTTATGGAGGAACATTGCAGCAGATATCTTTTTTTCTTTTCTTCTTTTTTTTTTATAATATCTAAAGGATACACAATTCCAGAGGTGGACAATTTGCATTATATATTTGAAAGCTTGACTAAAATGTATCTACTTAAGACAAGAGTATGTTTCCATAAGAAATGTAATGTACAATCTACTCTTCCAGTCCTAAGTAGATGCATGTACACAATTGTGTTGTATATGCGCGCGCGCGCGCGCGCGCGTGTGTGTGTGTGTGTGTATATATTTCGATATTTGCTAATTATTCTATATTTGCTAATTATATCGCAAGCATCTTGACAAAATGCATGTAAAAAAATCATCGTATTATAAATTGGGATATACAAACATAGTTTATATTTTTTTTCAATAGATTATCATGTTTTTATTCTTATTTATTATTAATAAAGAAGAATATGTATGGAAATGTATACTTCTAATTACATATGAATGTATAAAATAACAACTGGTTTGAAAAACCAGATAATTTCTATGAAAAATTTGAATTGCTACATCTATGGAATATTGAATTATAAATTTGATAATATTGAATCATATATCAAGCACATTTTGTTAAGTGTATGTTTGGATAGTTGCATTTAGAATTGCACATAATCTAAGAAAATCACATAATTAGCTATTATATTATTTATTAATTGATAAGTTCATAATTTTTATAAGTTAATAATTTTTTAACGAAAAATATCTAAGTTATTTTAATATTTTTCTTTTATATTTGTAGAAATAGTCGCCCAAGAGGAGGACAAGAGTGAATTTGATTATCTAAAAATGTTGGAACTTCTTAGAGGAAGCGATCATTTTCCTTATCTGCCTCCTGGTGGTGGTCTTCATGCTAAGTAAGTTTAGCAACATTAAAACACGATTTTTAGAAATAATAGATCGTGCTTAGCAGAGTGTTTAGTTTGTAATTCTTAAAAGTTTTCTTCGTGCTGATTGGATTATTTTTCGATCTAAAAGAATAGTCCTATCTTAGAAGAAAATTTTTGACAGTTGTGAAATAAATATTCTGCTGACGCGGCAAATTATATCATTAAACTAAAATCAAAGTTCTTAGTAAAAAGTATTAAAAATTGTTTAATGTTTTCGTTTTATTGCCAAACGTTATTAAAAACTTAAAAGGGTTAGTTTCTATAGTGAAATATTACATAATTTTAATTTAGGAAAGATGACTCATACTTACGTAATATATACATACATAGCTGTTTTAAAACGATATTTTGGAATATATTTAATATTTAGTTATATCTTTTAATAGAAATTAGACATTAGACTTTAATAGAGAATAGACATTTTACGATTTTCATAGTGAGATCACGGTAATGTTAGCGTTGCTACTACCAAATACAACCGAATCGACAGTCTTCTACCAATTTGGCTAGATTCCAGAATATAATTAGATTTCCGTCATGAGAGCCCAATAATTTTATACTTGACCTTCTCTAAATGCACTTGAATTATTAGTACTCATCCTCGAAAATTTTATAATGTGCAATGATCATATTGTATTTATTTTCCTTTCAGGCAACCATTTATTGAGAAAATGTTTCGAGAAATGTGTCCCAGCAAAGCGCATTCTGTAAGTGTTGGATACATCCCTTTGACATAACTAACCCTCGATCGTTTTCTAAACTGCATCAAATGTACAATTATATAATAATAAGACATGTTCCATATTCATATAAAGATGCAGAATTTACGTGGACACATTTATTTGAATAGTAATCCCTAATGTAAGAAAATCCTATCAATGTTAAAGAAAAATTATGATGTATTATAAATTGGTGAGTCTTAAGAGAACTAAGTTTCATAAGTCTCATAAAGCATATAATTAGTAGACTTCTACAAGTGACCCACGATTGGCAACGTAAATTAGTGCGTAAATATTATGTACTTTTGTAAGTGTTTCTATCCATCTATCTATACTATTTGTTTAAAAACTCAAGCTATATAAAAGTTTCCTTATTCATCGTAATTTAGTAATCGCAAGAGACATTGAAATATTATCCGGGGTTATGTATCTATTTAAGGAATATATATTTTTCTCGAAAGATTTATTTTAGAAAAATGGCTGAAACTTAAGTGCGCTGTATCGAATAGTGAACATACTTAACTAAGTTCCACTATTTTGTGCAAATTATTAATTTGCAGATTAAGCCAGTTAATAATTTTAATGGAATAATAGTACAAGTGAAATATCAATTACAAAGGGACTAAGGATAATTATATAATTATATAATATTTACTTTTAATTTTAATACTTCTATCGTTTTGAATATTTTACTTAGAATATGAGAAAGTCGAACAAACAAATACTTGATATACAGATATAAGAAAATATTTTTATGATTGATGGCATATTTCAGGAGAAAATGTAAAAATTGTGTTATGTACTTTACAAATAATCCCAATTGATCTTTGACTTTTTTACCATTTAATAATTTTTTATAATTATCACACATTGTGTGTGTGTTGGATTTTATAAATTTCTTTTTCATTTTGGGGAATAAAAATTGTTTATATTTCAGTTATATTATAAGCAGAGGGTTAAACAGATGTTAAACTAAAAATTAGATGTACAAGTTCGAATAAAAATGGAAAACTAGATAATATGAAAACTAATCAAGGTGTAAGTTTTAATATAATATACATATGTAAAAAAATATAGAGAGCATGATATGTTATTATGTATGCATTTATTTGGAGATACTTAACAAAAAAATGATATCCTTAAATATTTAATTACTGTGAAATTTGCACAATAAACTAATACTATTATATATTTTATACCGCTTGCGTAACTCTTTTACGCAAACAGGATTTAACGTTATCTTCATTAAAAATGTATTTTCCTCAGAACTGTACAAAAATTTCTGTATTACAAGACATTCGTGATACATTATGAAGCGAGATTTTCATGGAATTTAATAAGAATTTAGTAGAATATTTCTGTCATGCCCTCTTGCCATGTTGATAAAAAATGCATAATATTGCGATATATAATTATATATTTTTGTAGATCTAGGAAAAAAATTAGCGCAGAATATATATCTACTCTGATCAGTATTTCCTACTTTTCATTTATAATCAGTTCCGATGTTTATGGAAATATCTGTTCAATGTACTTCGTAGAACACGGAAACTTTTTATATGAGAAGAGTAGGAAAAAACTGATTATTTAGTTCTAAAATTATCAGTCCTGTACACACACACACACACACACACACACACGAGTTGTCTAATAAACAATGTACTGATATTTTCTTCAAATTTAAAATTTATAATTTAAAATGAGAACTTAATATACTTGGCGAGGAGGCCTTGAGTTTAGTTTCCTATAATGTTATTTCATAAATTTTATATTTGGCTACCCACAATCATAACAGATTAAACTGTTGTATTTAATGTATATTTGAAATATATTATACAGTTAATGAATTTGTAATTTAAATACAAATTTGTATACAAATTCAATCAACAGATATAGATAGAGTAAAAACATGTACCACTAACAGATATATATGTATAAATATATAAATCAGCTTTATGAATAACGCATATCAAACATTAATCCTTCGATTTTTATAATCATTTTTCACGCACATAAAATCATACAGCTTCTGGAGAAGTGGAAATTATACATCAAGGCCATCCTCGTGCATTCGATGAAGTATACATGTACCAAAGTATATTACCGTTTCTGGTTATAAAAAGAAATGTCCTGAAATTAACAAAGTTAACACTCAATCTATTACCCGTTTTTTTAAAGTAATATATTAGAAATATAAAAATATATAACTCTTATACAGAGAACGGATTAACCCTCTATTTTTACTAACGATGTCTCATTAAATGAAAATGTGAAGATACTAATATATTTCGCTGATACTTCAAATTTTTTCTTTCTAATCTGATCAATAGGACGCGAAAATTCATAAGATTTAGCGATGGATTTCTCCGAACAATACTGAGATGCGTAGGGCTGATGCAATTATATATAATCATCTTCGTTGAATATGAGCAAGACCTTTTTTTTATGTAAAACTAAAAAAAAATAGAAATAATGCAACTTGGATAATTCAAACGGAGTAGCTAGCCATATGAAAATCTCACAAATTTTCACGACCTATTAATCACATAATTAATAATATAATTTCTTAATTTGGTTAACAAAAGCTACACAAAGTATTAGATTTTCACAAGATTGTGAATTACAGAATAAACATATTACAGATATACGTGAAGCTTTATAATTTCTTGAAGTGATTGAAGTCTAGTTAATAACATATAGCGTGTATCTAGACTACGGATTATAAAAATAGTTTGATATAGCTGAATATTTCCTTTTGCTGAGCTTTCCGTGCCTCATCTAGTGACAATGATACGCCCATATTAATGGTATGTGTTTTCAACTCGTATTGCAAACAGTAGAGTTATACAAACATGCTTTTAATTGAAAAATTAAATATTTGATGGCATAATATATAATATTAATTTACGAACATACTCATTGTTCAATCACATTGTTAATAACATATAATTACATCATTAATGCAAACTATTTACTTCATAAAAATTTGGAATTTTAACATGAATGGATTATTATCTTTTTGTACTAACTTTTTTTACATATAGTCTTATTCTGTGTATTGAATATAATCCATGTTGTACACATACATTGAGTCAAATATTTTATGAAATTTGCAAGAGAAACAATTATATGAAAATTTTACAAATGTTTCAGTATCCATATTCTTTTAACATTTCAACATTGTATAATCAGAACGTATACAGAATGGGACTATTAGAGAAAAAAATATGTTTTCATAAAAACAAATAGTATTTTATTAATGTCACTATTATATAACATTATACGTCAATTAAGTTCAATTGGCATAATCGTAGTGATGAAACAGCTATGATACTGCATTTATTTCTTTTTGTGATCTTGTAATTATTTTAAATGTCATTCACAATTTTAATTAATTAATTACGTATTTATTAAAGATTGTAAAAAAAAACTTATAATTTATAATTTTATCGTTGAGAAATTGTTGTCGTATATATCCTATTATTACATTTTTCGTACATATCCTATTATTTTATTTTAAACTATAATTATGTTTACATGATCGTTGAAATTTTTGCAGGAATCAGTTAGTTAGCATATAAACAGATTTCTCATAATATGCACTAATTATATTAATGCTTCACGAATGCTATATGATCCATATCACTTGAGAGATCCTTTCTTTTTTAATATCTGTATATTTTTTCTGATGAATTAAATCATTATTGTATAATGCTATTTCATAGTAAGAGATTAAACATTTATTTAATTTCATTTGGGAATTCTTCTTTAATGAATTCGAAAAAATGTTGCATACTACGACACTAATCTATTATAAATTATTTTTTATTCTTCTTGTGAAGTCTTTAGCTTTTCTTTATTCTTCTGTTGAGCCAGAGCACAAATCTGCCAAGGGACACAGATCCCCATTGACCAAGCTTAATAACAGCTGTTAAAATTTTTATACAGCCTCTATTTAATCTTCTTTTTTCTATATAATTTAATTAATAAGAGAAAATCGTAAAAGATTGAAATCATATGTACTGTTGTTTTTAAAATGGAAGCTTTAGTATTAACACATATTTTTATGCGGCGTTTAAAATATATACAGACAGAGTTAAGAAGACGAAAAAGGAAGTTAAGATCTTACAATAAGCGCCTCGTCGTATACTGCAAAATTTTGGCGTTTCAAATGCGGTATACTATTTTAGATATATTATTATTGTCGTGTGTAGAAAGTCGTCGACATGATTGTACAATACTTGTCTATGTTTATTGTACATAATACGCATAATTAAAATGATTTGATGGGAACAAGTCTTTCGTTTTTCGCTATAAGTAAGCGTATAATTTCTAATATTTTACCTATTTCCAAATTATTGACTAAATATAAAATATCTCGTTAGGTATTACATCGC